ACTTGTCTAAAAGGCTGGTACTCAAAAAGTGACCAAGTCATCAATTGAAGAAATCTCTTATTTTTTACCTAAAGCCCAATCTGCTTTTGTTAAAAACTTTTTGAAATATAGTCCAGTTTATTAAAATCTAGGGGAGAATTCTTGGCTTGGTTTTGAGAAATCATCGTGTAAACCTTTTCAGAAAACTTTCTTGCCAACCTAATACTATTTTCTTAACTCATCAAAATCATATATAACCCATTAAACTGTGGAGTGTTATTTCAACGTCAAAGTTGTTTATTTGTCAAGAATTGCCCAATGGATAAAAGCTCTGAAATTCGATCCAAACCCCAGTCACCACACTTTTCAAAACATTTTTCCTTTTGTTTGACCAAAGGGATAATATTTCTTCTTTCTTTTTCCCGAATAGATAAACAAGTGAAACCAAAACAAGATAATATATTGAAATTGGATTATAATAGACTTGGACAAAAAATAAAGTTTTCGGCTTATAAAGACGGAAAAACATGTGTCATTTCACATAAAGGAACATGACATCGATCATCACCAAAAGACACAATGGGCAACAAAAAAAAAAAAATGTTTAGAGATTACATTCACACGGAATTATCGATCAACTTTAATGGAACTTTTTTGTTTTGTGTAGTTGAAACAAGATTACGGTAGCTTTCTAAAGTTGGGAAGCTTTAGAAAAGTATTATTTGATAGATGAGTGTAATCTCTTTATCCATATCTTCTTTTCTTTTCTTTTTTTCTTCACCTTAACATTTGCAGTCAGCGATCCTCTTCTTTCTCTCGATCTTGTTTTGCATTCATTACCGTCACCGATGCTCGACGATTTCCCGATCGACTTGGAAGGGCCTCCCTGAAGGGCAATTTCAGCCAACAAATCGGTTTATATCACGGTACCCAGCCGAAAAACTCGCCTAACAACGGCTTTTTCTGACCGAATGCTTTGTCGCCGTAATGTAGTCGGGAGCGCACTTGTCTACGAACCACGCGGTCCGGGCTCGATTCTCGGGTATTTTTAGTGGAAACACCCAGGTTTGATTTTTAAATAGCACAACTACAATATATTCTAAGGTTTTTTTAAAGAGGTTTTAGCTTTATTGTTCAAAAACGGCCGAGGAAATGCCCGTACATTTGACAGACGAACAGACACTGCTCTTTTTATATCGTAGATAGATAGACTCCTGTCTAGTTTCCGGGCATTTAGAGTAGTGCTTCTTGCGCTCCTTCTTTGTTCAGAATTGATATTTTTGTTTGTTTTTCTATATTTTGATATAAAAATGACTAGGCTATCTAATGGAACTCAATGGAGATAAAACTGGCCCGTCCATTCATAAGAGGATTGAGTTACATTCGAAGCTGACCGAGCTGGTAGATCCAGCTAGGTTTGTTTGTGAATGGACGGACTATTTTATCTTTGTGTATTCTGTGAGCTGCCTCCAGTATATAAAAGAATCCGATCATTTTTCATGGGAGTCTTAAAGTTGATCTTTCTCATGCGATTTCTGTATTTTTCTCACCTGCTCCGAAGACCCGCCAGCGAAGCATGACGGCGGCTAAATACAGTTTGAAATGAATAATTTGGAGTCAATCAATGGATCAATCAGTCAAATACTCACTATCTCCATCAAAATCGAGAATCGAATGATTTGAGGCTCGTCGACGACCATTGTACTGAAAAAGCTTTTTGTGTCTGAAATTACAGATGATTTCCTCGATTTTTCTCGAAACTTCCTCGTCGTCTCAACTTCACACATTTTGCTTTTAAGATTCTCCGGACAAACACTTGGCTTAATATTAGCCTTATTATCGTTAGATAAAACATAATATCTCGGAAAATCTTTTGCATTACGTCCTCAATTAATTTTCTCGGCTCTTGCCTGTTATCCTAGGGTTTCGGGGACATCTGGGGAATTATCCGCGGTTTTTGAATGAGCAATTTTGAACTTTGAAGGTCAATAATTTAGGAGATATATATTATTCTGGACTTTATACTGTTTTAAAGAAGACACTTTAGGCTTTCAAACAATATAAAATACGACTCGATTTGACCAGACAATCCCCGAGAAGGCTCAATAAAATGAATAACTCCAGTCGACTCGCCGACCCCAAAACCCCCAGTTACAAATTTCAGCTAAATATCATCTTTTGGGATCATCTACAAGACAAAGAGGCCTGTGAAAATGACTGGTGATGTACTCGCTTTAGGCATTACTATGCCTAGATTTTTTGGGACCAATTTTCCCCTTGAATTTGGCTATATTTTTCGACAAATTTTACATTCTGTAACCCATTGTTTTACTCCCCAAACAGCGAGCCATATTGATAGAATATTGCGGTATAACTTGAAGATCTTTTCTCTCTTTTTTTTGTTTTCTCAGCATTGGATAACTCAATGGCTCTTATTTTTTATCATCCTTAAGCCCGAAGTGTTTTCTACAAGTACTATCTTTAGACATTTAAAATCTAAATTTAGAAGTTTAGAAGAATAGAATTTTAAAAATTTAGAAGAAGCCTTTGAAACCTCGTTATTTGGTGTGTTCAAGTATTTTGACCGAGCAGTCTTGGCTAAATGTTCGAAAGATCGAGGGTTTGATTCCAGTTACGGAAACTGATATTTCAGTACTTTACTTTTCCAAATAATCTTTCCTCTGATTTCCAATCGTTTGTCCTTTTCCTCCTCAATTTCCCCTCTTTTTCCTAAATCTTTCCTCTCAATTCCCTTTTTATTCAGTGATTAATTGTCGTACACGTTTTCCATCACACAATCAGATCAATCCCTTTCATCTCAATGTACCCAATATCCGAAAAGCTTGTAGGAGCCAATTAACAGATCAAATGTTGATAAAATTAGTGATTTAATCTTTAAAAACGAACATGGATGACCTCTTCTTCTTCGAGGAGCGGTAGAAGATTTCCCTTGGAATCTCTGGAACGAGGACCATCGAGGGGAAGGTTCACTTCTCGGGAAGTACTGGAAAATGATGAATTCATAGATGATATTTGTATTTCCTTGGAGTATTATATTACCTTAAACATTCAAATAGTCCCTTTGGACAAAAGTTTTTCATTTTCTTGCTTTTTTTCAACTCTCGGATAACAAAATGTTTTTTAAAAGACTCCCAAATGCTTTATATAATAGTTATAGGCTAAAAAAATATTGACATGGAAAACCGCATGAAAATCCATAAAAAACACTCATTTTTAGAAGATCTTGATCTTTGGGTATACTGTAACTGGGGCATGAAATAGAGTGGAATCGAAGCCTTCTATTAGAATGGTTACGGTATGTGTTGATATTCTCAATATCTGTCAATTTCTATTTATCTCCCCAACCGGCGTCCCATCGATTTGAGCATCGCCGGACTGAGCATTGTGACGGCGAGGAGAACCAGTTTGAATGGGGAAATTGAATGAATTGATCTCTTTTCTGAAAATAGAATCGGTATTTTAAATAAAGTAAATCTTTCGAAACATTGAGAAACGAAGAATTTAGTTCTCTTTTATCTCATCAAAGCAGTATGATTTATGATTATTTTCCTCGAATACATTAGTTTTCATCGAAAGATAATAGCCTTCAGCTATTCAATAACAGAAATATTATCATCGATCATTTGAAAAGGGAAAATAAAGAAGAAATGATTAGAATGAGGTTTTTGGGGCAAGTATGTGATTAGGCAAAGCCAAGGAAAGTCAAACAGAGATAGGGAATTTCACGGTTTGAGTGGTCGGATTTCCAAAGTCAAGATTAATATAAAAAATATAAAAATTCAAAAATATTTTATCTCTAGACAAAGTTATGGACCTTTAAAGCATGGTTATTCATTCAAAATGGCCGTGATAACTCCAAAAAAAGGACAAGCACAAAGAATCGAGACGAGAAGGAACAATTTGCAAAGATATTGTTTATGAAAATAAAGCATGGGTATTAAATCTCTCAATCACTTCAAAGTTTTACAACTACATCTTCCTGGAAAAACTTTTTGGTTAAAGGTCTCTCATTTCCCATTTCTTTTCCGTTTTTCACCCTCATTTTCCTCCAAATATTTCTCAGTACAATCACTCACTCATCAACGAGTTTTTGGGTGTCAGGAAAAGAGTCTCAGGTGAACTCTTTTCTTTCTTTCTTTTTTTTCACCTCCACAACTCAATCACAATAGAGACATTTGTACCTCATAGTTAGAACATTAGCGATTAAAATGTAGGCAAGTATATGAAGAGATGCTAGATTAAGCTCTGTTAGGCTAAAATAAATTTATTCTAGCCTAAGTTTATTCAATATCGTAGCAAAACATGTAAAAATGCAAGTTAGGAGGTTAAATTTGCATGTTAACTGGTTAGGGGACAGATCTACTGAAAAGGTTTGCATTGAGAGCAGCAGTTAACGTGTTAGCTTGAACAAGGAGAAAGCTGGAAATGATGAAAGTTTATCGTTAACGTTTTAGGCTGCCGATAAGACGGCGATAAATCCGATCAGAAATCGCCGGCCGACTCAAAATAAGTCTGTTCTCTTGGGGGAAAAAGGGAGAAATAAAGAAAATGGATTCTTACACAAGAAATGAGGAGAAAATGGAAAAGAACATTAAATGGCAAAGATTCGAAATAGAATGGATAGAATGGAGAAAGAGATTGACCTTTGGATGAGAAAGAGAGAATGCGACGGGAGAAGATAGGGACACAAAGAGGGGGGCAAGAGGGGACAAGGGGCTTTTCTTAGGACCAATTTTTAGCCTGATTGTGAGCCAGGTCCTGGCCAATCTCTTAACCTTTGCTTAACCCTAGTCTGGTTTTTCTACACGAATTTCGCTTTCGGCATGGCTTTCGTTAGCTTGCCAGAGATCCCAAACCAAGCCGTGGCAAGGCAAGACAAGGCAATTGCTACCCTTGCTTTGATTTTGGCTTAGCTTCCCAAAAAAAACCCAGGTCAAGGTCAAGCTCGGGCAATGGCTTTGGCTTTAACTTGGACAAGATTTTTGGAACAACTCTGCACGGGATAGACATTGAGGGACACCGGATAGACATGATGGGACATAACGGAAGGGACACCCTCACATTTTGATGGGAATGATGAGCAACTTGAGAATGGGAAAAAGAGAGAAAAGATCAAAAAATCTCCATTCTGCACGAATGCCCTCTTGAGTGTGTAAAGCAATGTGTATTTTGATACTTCCAGGTTATCACTTTACAAGCAAGATAAACAACTTCTTTGCAAACTTTGCAAGGACCAAAATTAAACCTCAGATGCAAGTTTGCAAAAGAAAAGAAGCAATGTTGAATTGGACCAGTGCGACTGGGAGTAAATGAACAGTTGAACAGCACAAGAACTCATTGGAAAAGTTAAAGAAAAATGGGAAAATCGAGAAAAAGCGAAGAAAAGACATCAAATTGATGATGAGAAAGGAAAAGAAAAAATGATGAAAAAAGAAACGAGGAACTTTTGTGGAAAAGAAGAGAATGAGAAGGAGAATGAGGATCATTTTGGAGGGATTTGCAAGGATTGAGAAGCAGGTGATAAAAGTGGATTGAGTTATTCGGCGCCGCAAAGCTGTCCGCGCTTTTTGCTTAGGGTTGTTCCAACTGGGTCCTATGACTTGCAAGCCAGGCCGGTCCAGGCCTGGCTTGGCCCAAGTATTTGTAAACCACAGTAAAGCCAGACCAAACCTTGTCTTTCCCTCGAAAGCAAAAGGAATAGAAGTTAATTTAATAGAAAAATTGACAACAACCCAAGACCGAATCTAAAACATTCACATAAACCAACGAGCTGTGATAAATTGGGAGAAATCTCGTAAATAAGCGTGTGGGAGTTATTTTGACGGAAAAATGGTCAGTCAACAATTGAAAAAAGAATGGGGGACAAATCGGTGATGGATGAGAAATGGAGGAATGGAAGAATAGGAATAGGACAGGGAAAGGGACATGTGAGGGGGACAGGGGAGGGGAGGATGATCCTCCCCATCAGCCGATCAGCCCCGGTCTGTGGGGGATTCTACTTGTGAGTCACACTTATACACGCCAATGTACTAAAAGATGCTCTAATGAAGTAAGAAGTAACTCATCCCAAAAACTACCGTACTCAAAATAGAATTTTACCACGGTGTTCTTAGGCTTACTGAGATTCAATGATGTACTTTGAATTGGAAAGTTTCTAAAAGACGCGTTTAGCTACCGTACTCCGGATGGCTTTTTGAATTAAGCTTATCTCTGCCGAGCATTTTGAGTTGTGAAATTTAGTTGTTTTTTTTGCTTTTCTTGATCAATTTAGTCTTTGAATCTAAAGAAAATCAGAGAATAAAGATAACATTTTGTCTTCAATGTTAAAAATTCAAAAAACGTAACCGTTTTTTAGTTCTGATTTTCAATTGAGTTTTATGTGTTTCTTCACAGATTTTTCAAAGGATCCGGCTCGTTAAAAATCGCAATAAACTGATAAAAAAAAGGGAAAAGGGAAAATTTTGACACGGGAAACTTATTGGATTGGGTTCAATAACGAGAATCATGTCATCAATTCAATCAATTACTTTCTTCGTTTTATTTTCTCTGGGATTCGCGCAGGATCTCTTTGTGGAAACTCCAATGGGATCTGTGGGGGTAATGATGGCAGAGAATATGAAACTTGTCGGGTTATCGGGTATTTTGAATGGATTCATTTTTTTGAGATTTTCAAGTTATGCAGCAATTTTCTCTCATCATGTACAAATCCTTAGTCATTTCTCATTTCTAGGGTTTTCATGTCAATTATGGGAACAATCTCTCTTCATTATGGTATGGAGAAGCCGATGTTTTCATGGGGATTCCATTTGCTGAGCCTCCTGTTGGGGAAAAACGATTTCAAGTTTGACTTGATCAGAGTCTTTTTGAAATAATAATCCTTTCAGATGCCAGTGCCAATAATGGAATATCCGAATCGACGCGTGAATGCAACAAAATTTAAGTAGGAAATGAGTTCAAAGTTTGATATGGTTCTTTCATTTTCACAGAGCTGCCTGTGTTCAACCAGATATGTCGGCTTGTTCTGTGCAAAGTGAGGATTGTCTTTATCTCAATGTCATCACTCCAAATGTTTGTTTCTATGTCTTTTCTGAATCTTGAATTCAATAGGCAAACGCAGTACACAAATACCCGGTAATGGTGTGGATTCACGGGGGATCGTTCACCGGGGGATGTGCCGCACAATTCCCTGTTAAAGTAAGCCAAAAAATAACCCTAAATCCAATCATTTTCAGGGTATTGTGCGAAATCTTGTCTCCCGTGGAGTGGTTGTTGTGACAATTCAATATCGCCTAAATATCCCCGGTTTTTTCACGACAAGCACCGATGAGTTCCCGGCAAATCGGGGAATGCTCGATCAAGTAAGCCTTTTAAAATGGGTAGCCGCGTTTTGAAGCTTCATAATTTTGATCAGAAATGATAATATTCTCAACTTTTTTATCAAAGCTTTAAAGAGGACACTTCAGCCTTTCGAATGATATAAAATCAGTTTGACCAAACATTCCCGAGAGGACTTAATAAAATGAATAGCTTCAATCGAAACCCCCGGGTATCTTTTTGCTCCAATTTTGGCTATATTTTTCGACAAATTTTACATCCTGTAACCCATTGTTTCACTCCCAAACAGCAGCCAAGTTGAGAAAACAGTGCTGTATAAATTGAGCACCTTTTCTCTCTCGATTTTCTCAGGATTTTCTGATCCAATAAAACTCTATTTTATATCATTCGAAAGCACAAAAAAATTTGCTTTAAAACTTTGTGTATAAAAAGTTAGGAATAATTTTATTCTTAAAACTCATTCAAAAACCTCGGTTTCCGAAAAAAACCAGGACTGGGCGGATTTCCGGATCTGGAATTTTGACTCTACCCAGCTCAGATTCCGCTTAAGAGCCAAAATCGAATTGGATTTTCAAAGGTTTTTCTAGGTCGAAGCTCTGAGATGGGTTCAAAATAACATTGATTATTTTGGCGGAAATCCGTATTCGGTGACGATCTTTGGCCAATCGGCTGGCAGTATTTCCGTCTCCGCGCACACTTATTCACCACTGAGTCAAGGTTTGAAAGAAAATGTCACACAAAGTTGATTTCCCATGAACTTCTATAACTCGTTCATAATACTTTTTTTAGGTTTATTTCAGCAGGGAATCATGGAATCGGGTGCTCTTTTCACTTCATTAGAGGGATCACTTGGAACACTCAATATGAGTCAAGATAGAGCGTTTCAAGTAAAATAGTCAAATTGTATCTACCATAAATATTCTAATCAAAACCCCCTTTCCGTCTATTTCCCCCTCCATTCTATTTCATTCCCCAGCTACAGTATACCTAAAATTTCAAGAGTTTTATCATCTTTTTCAAATTCTAGCTTTGCAACTTCACCGATCAACAATGGAACAACGGGGATTTCGCCGATTTGAAAAGCTGCATGGAGAAAACTGAGCCGAGTGCTTGGGTCAATATGGATAAGGTTTGACAAATGGAAAACCATATCCAAAAATATTTCAGGGAACTTTATTCGGTTGGCGACTTTTGTTGGATAAATGTTATTTGCCGGATACACCCGAAAAACTGAACAAAAAGAGGCCAATGATTCCGATGATTATTGGGAATATGAGAGATGAATTCGCGAGTACATGTAAATTCTGAAATATTCACGTTTTAAAATGGGTAGCAACACTTTGAAAGTTCATAATTTTGTTTAGAGATAATAATATTCTTGACTCTTTATATAGTTTTCTCAGAATAGGATAGTTCTATCAAAGGCTATTTTATAGCATTCGGAAGCCCGAAGTGTTCTTTTTAAAACTAAAAATAAAAAGTTAATAATACAGAAGCACTTTGATGTTCTTTGGGGTTCGCAAGGATTTTTTCGATCTTTTTCTGGCTTGTCGGACAAGTCCTTACGTGTGGCAAAATTTTTCCTCACATCTGACACTGTTTTATGCGGTGCTTCCAGCTTTTTCGCGGTACCCCTCACGCTGAGTCCATCCTTGGACATTTGCAAGATGGGTACCCTCTTTTCTTTTTGTCCCAACTTCATTTCTAAATCACTTATTTATCAAAGAAATAATTGAAACATATAGAAAAAGAATAAAAAAATGCATAAACATGAAAAGAAGCGTGGATAAATGCTTTTTCGCGCTATTATGGCAAAAAGTATGTCCCGCCGGTTATTTTGATCGCATCCTGTATAACCTCTGGGCAAAGTTATAAACCTTCAAAGTATGACTACCCGTTTAAGCTCCCGGGATAACAGGCAAGAATCGATTGCAGGGTATTACCAAATGAGTGAAGAGGGGATTCCATTCGAATATTTCTCCGCAAATTTCGTTAAATTGGTTTTTGATGCATGGGGAACAATTTATGGCGATAGAATTGATGATGTTTGGAATATCGTGAAGAAGGTTTGTATTAGAAGAGCAGATATCCATTTTGTCAAATACACTTCAGAGTTACGTGGCAAAAGGGACAAATGATAGCGATGCGGCTGCATGGTGGATAGACAGTTGTACGGTAAATGATGAGCAATTAAAATTTTGCAATATATTTGGTTAAAAAACCAGTACAGGGATGTTTTAGGTTTTAAACATAAATATCTAAATCCCAATATCTTTTTTGTAGTTTTTCACGGCTGCCTCTTTTGCTCAATTCGCCGTCCAAGATGCGATAATGTACAGTGCAGCGGGGAATAAAGAGATCTATCTTTATGAGCAAACGTATGGCTCGAGAATCTCACATTCAGAACAAGCCGATGAAGTGACCAAGAAATTGGGAGGATATAGACGTGAGTTGGGGAAATCTCAAATCTACGTGATTTTGATGTCATCTCCTATCGATTGACACAAAAATCATGCGAATCGGATAAATCTATGAAAGTTAAAGCCAGAAGCAATTTTGTCTCCTTTTAGCAGTTCCCCATTCGACCGAACTTCCCTATGTTTTTATGTACGATGGTGTCTGGGAGTCGGCCATTTCACAAAATCGAACACAACCATTCGATTTCGAATTAGCCGATTGGTATGGGAAAATGTGGACGAATTTTGCGCAGTATGGGTGGGTGGAAATCTGAAGTTTTTATTGTCTTCTGAATTGAAAAAGTGCATTATTTGTGACCGTCACTTGTGAGTTTTGTCAAAAAAGTGTAATTTTCAGTCGACCAACTCTGACTGAAGAATGGAAATCGGTGGAATCCCCGTCGAATCTTTGGCATTTCAACATTGAGAATCCAGAAATGAATGGAATGAAAATGTTGAAAGGATATCGAGATATCGATCTGATCGTTTTCACTAATGTATTCATTTCTGATGTAATTCAAATTTATCTCCAATTCAGGCAATCTCGAAATTGATCGAAACTTCTCCTCCAACATTTGATCGAGAAAAATTGCAAAAAGCAAAGGAATCCTTGATGAGATTAAAGGTTTAAAAGGGATCACGAGACATTTTTGCTTTGTTATATATAATAAATACTATACATCAAAACAGTCCTATTTTTTTGCATAATAGATTATGAAATAAGAAAAGAGTACTGTGAGAGTTGTTAGAACGATACTTATTGGTTATCGAGATCATTGCAACAAATTCTAAACCAACCAAAGAGGCGAGCTCTTAGAAAAAACCAGAGAAATGGCGCTTTCGCCGCCTTTTAAAGGAACGCGCGACGCGCTTAGGGTACGGTAACGAAGTCACGGTTTAACTTCGTTACCCCATGAGTTGAAAAGAGGTTGGTGCTTTTTCAGAGAAATAAGCAATTGTTGAGCAGTTTTGCTAGTGTAATACAATGTCGCTTTTTACTTTAGATTGACCATACGGTACAAGCAAAAACTTGTGACATCAAAGAATCAGATATGCAAATAAATGACGCGAATCATCGAGCTTGATCCATATTGGACCCACGGTGATGGAAGATGACTGAGAAGGGAAAGAGACGTGGATGCATGCATGGATGTGAGGAGGTTTAGCTGAATTCACATCATCTCGACTTGTTATAGGAGAGAGTATGTCTGTGTGTGTCTGTCTGTTATGCGATTTTAGAAAAAACGGCTAAGCCAGTTGGTCTGAAAATTTCCCTATTATATGTAAAATTTTGTAATTTCCAAAAATCTAATTAGTTTTGGGGGTTAATTGGGCTGTTTTTGCTTTCAGAATTTCCGACTGAATTTCAGAATCTTTATACGCGTGGCCGAGTGGTTAGTGGCGCTGTCTATCAGTCTGGTGCTAGAGGGGTTATTGGTTCGGCTCCCCTAAGCTTCCGAGTGATTAGATGTGCTTTATTTTGTGATGAAAATGTATTTTAAAGCTATGCCTAATAACATTAGCGTTTAATCTCAAAAATTTTAGTTGTAAAAGGAAAAATGATGTTGGGAAAATTGGTTTTAGGAAGGGGAATTGAACCAAAAGGGTCAAATTGAAGGTAATAAAAAATTACATCTATCAATCAAATCCGTTAAAAATTTTTAAACTCTGAAAAGGTAAGGTACAGTTGAGCTGGAGGGAAGGGGTTGAACGATTCAGTCGAACTGGAGTGCGGAGGGGGAAGAGGAATGGGGAGGCGGAAGGGGAATGGGGAGTGGAGAGTACGTCACGTCCCTAACTCATCAGCAGTAAAGACCCGAGAAGTGAACAATTAGAGATCAGCTAAAGTCTTAGGCAAAGATGAGAAAAGAGTACTCCATGGGACTGTTCTCCAACACGAGGTCGCGTATTCAAATGATCGTGATGGCGTTTCATTCAATTATCCCGAATTGGATAATTGAATGAAATGAAAAGCAAACATGATCATAAGTTATTTAAATCAACAAAATAAATTGATGTTCATTATTTTTGCATCATCATGGTCACAAAAGAAACACCGCTGAGAAGCAGTACTCTAAACAAAAATAGTATTTTAGAAAAAAGGCTTTAAGATTTGAAGTAAGATTATGGTAGCTTTAGCAAGTTGGCATGCTTTAAAAATGTGTTCTTCGTTTTATTTTAACATTTCTGTCTGTGCTATGTGCCATTTCTTTCTTTCATTTTTCGTTTCGTTTCTTTCCTTGAATATTTTTATTAGACAAAATTTACATAAAAACACCTCATTACAAATGTTACGATAACCGGCCTTAGATCTGGGAGTATCCCTTTAATCTAAGCTTTCTTCTCAAGTTCGATCAAATGTTTGATTCCATCATACATTTGTTTCACAGCCTCGAATTCGGTCAATCCAAGACGAGCCTAAACTCTTCTTTGTTATATCTCTTTTTATCATTATTTAACCTTGTTTGAGATGTCATAGACTCCTCCAACCGATTCAGAGTGCTCACCGTGAATACCTGAAAAAAAATTTGTTTCATTGCCTTACAAACGACAATATGTTTTCATTTACACGCATCGGCTACTGACCGCGAATTTGAAGCTTCAAGCCGTCACAGATTTTCTTGAAATCGGGTTTTGCAGAGATCTTTGGCAATCTGATGTGAACCGAGGCACGAACAGTGGTTCCCAAATTTGATGGGCAGAAAGTGAGCCATCCAAGGCGTTCATCACGAGAGAATGGAACTTGAGATTGAACGATTTTCACTCCCTTGATCAAACGCTCGAGCACCTGAAATTGTTTAGGTTTTGGTATTGTTGTTCTTTAACATTTTTCGTTTTAACATTTCAATTCACCCAACCTGTCCAACATTTCCTCCATTTTGCATGGAGATGATTCGGAGGTGATCTTCCTCATTCACCCAAACAAGGAAAGTCTTGTTCTTGTTGTGGTAGATTCCACGTCCCTTTGGCCAATAACGGCAAGCATTAGCTGTCTGAATTGATTATTTTATATTATTCTAAGAAGACATTGATCTCTACCTGAAGGAAACGATCTCCTTCCTTGAAAAGGAAATGATCAGCAATGAGTTGAGATTGAACTTCCTTGGTCATTCCATCCAAAGGATAATAGGTTCCCTAGATTTCAATATATATATTTATTTCTTTTTTCTCTTACCTGAAGTTCCTCATCCTTGATATTGGTGAAGATGCTCTTGACTTTTTTCTCCATTTCAAGATAGTTGGCCTCAGTGAGACATGGGTTGAATGGATATCCTTCAAGAGAACGTCCACAACGAACACGAGTCGAATTGATGTATTTTCCCTCAGGGTCAAGATCGGGAAGAAGATGGGTCTTTCCCTCTCCCAAATCAGTGGCTGGCTGTTTCTGGTTGGGGGCAAATCCGTTGTGGTAATCTTGGATGAGTGGATCAAAAAGAGGCTTGAAGAGAGTGTACGCCTCCGCATCCGGAGCATAGACACCTAATTTTGATATTCCAAGAGAAATCTTCGTCACTCATTACCGACTCCCGAATCCAAGTTGGCAACTCCGGATTGGATCACATCAAGGAGGGAAGCTCCGAGCTTGGTCTTCTTGTTCTTGCAGTTGTCGACAACCTGAAACAATATTGAGTTGATTGCTTAAAATGAAATGATTACCTCTTTGGTGAGGTACTTCTTGAGCAAAGAATGGCAATCCTTGGCTCCTTGAAGTTTGGCATAGCCTTCATCGATTTTGGCAACAATAGCTGGATCGACCGACATTTTCAAGAATTGTATGGTTGAACGAGGAAGAATGGAGTGAGATGTCCGGCACACGGCAGGTGGCGGAAATCGAGGAATGAAGGAGCCGAGCTCGAGCAAACCGATCACCCATCTCAACCCCTTCAGTGACCCCGCCCATAGCCCCATATCCCTCTTCTCTCTTCCATCCTTCAATGCTGTATTGCTTTTCTCGAAAGTTCTAGGGATCAAATGAATAAGAAGTGATGTGATAAAGTTAAAGAATCAATGAACCAATGAAGATTTTTCATAAGAAATTGATTGCGAAAAGAATCAACTTTATCAAAATCAAAGCAATTTTACGAAAGATCTATGCACCACAACTAAAAGCCACTCACATTGTCAATTACAGTATGATCAGGTTAAAGTTTTCATAGAGTTTCACGAGTTTTCCTAAATCACTATCCAGGGTAATTACAACCTTTACCTTTATCACATAGAAAAGCCCGGTCAGGCAAAATCAGAAGCCAGGAGAGAAACTAATTTCTGCTTAAGGCCTTGGGCGCTCCGGAAAATTACTTCTATTGGGAATTTTACTGTATCCAGGATTAGTGGGGCTGTTTGTGAAGAGGAAAGTTCAGATCGATCGTTAGTGTTAAGTTCCTTGCCTTTCCTTGCCTTTCATTTTCTCTTTGCTTTATCCGCTTCCCCTTTTCCCAACTAGGGGGAACTTTACACCCCAACACCAGTGTCCATCCGACTTTTCCCTCATTTCTTTTTCTTTCTTCCTTTCTTTATTTTCGCTTTTCTGCATCGGGGTCATTCTCCAACGTTCTCTTACAAAAAATCCCTGGAAACGTTTTTTTTCATTAAGAGCAGCTGTCACTTGACAAAGTTAAACACTCACCATCTTAAGAAGATTGTTTTCTTGCGAACAACGAAAATGATATAAAGTAGAAAGCAATGCCTTCGTTTAAAAGCTTTATTTTTACTAGGTTGATTTACAGATTTACAAAATCATTAAAAAATTACAAAATTACAGATTTAGAAGGTTGTTCAGATGTTGTTACTGTAAAATGTCATTGTAAATTTCCCTATCTTCAAACTGAGTTGTCGATTGAACATCGTTCAAATTGTATCAATGAAAGGATCCGTCTTGACACGCTGAAGAAAAACCAAACGCTGAAGTTTAGTTCAAAAATTATTTTAGCAGTTCTTATATACGGATATCCAACATGAACACATACACGTGGATCCGGTAAATCAATAGTCTAATTACTCTGAAACTTGGCTAGTGAGCTGAGCCTTATTATTAGCTAATCATCATGAACAAGTTGTTAAATTTGTTTTTGCCCTTTTTTGAAACGCATTTCAAAATTGATAATATATTCAAATTACCGTAAAATTAAATTTTTAAATAACCAAAACTAGACACTCAGTTTACATTTAGTTGGTACTTTTATTTTCATTTAAAATCATAAAAAAGATCAGTACCATAATAAAATCGGATTGACCCTCAATGTTCTTCTCACTTTACATCAGAATTGAACAAGAATAACGGGAGGAATGGGTAAAACGGGAAAAGCACATTGAATTCGAGTCGATAGGAAACAATGGAAACATACAAACAAGAACAAATCTTTCACCACTCATAAACAATCACATCACATTTTCTTTGTTCTTTGTTTTTACACAAAAACATTTCCAAATTGTGATTCATAGGCATTCATAAACAATAATATTCCCAGTCACAAATCACAAGACAAATCGATAATATCCTCAAAGCCATTTTCAATATTTTAAAATAAATCATTGTAATTTTGAGATTGGTATTGCTTTTTGCGTATGTAGCCTGAACAGAACAGTCCTATCGAGCTTTTCTGCTTCTGGATGTTATCTATAATTTCTTAAGAAATAAAAGTTGCTTCTATGTTTTTTAAGTAAGAATCAATCTAATTTTTGTTCAATTTCGAGATTTGCTGTGATCGTAATGATGGATGAATGGTGTGTTATGTGATGACTCTTTTGTTTTGTCAAGAACTCTCGCTGTCTGTTCAATGGCGTTTCGGTAAAATGATAGACATGCAGAGAAAAGAAAAGAAAAGATAGGAAAGGATCTAAATGAATCAACACAATCATTTCTTCTTTCATTCTTTTATGGCCAGCCTTATTTTTTTTCTCGGGATTAGGGTTAAACGGAAAAAATCGTAGGTCTTTGTCCAGTCCTGCTTGAAGCTAATGAACAGTATGCACATTATTAACAAGAAGTACATCAAGTTCTAGAGCTATGAATGTCTTCTGACCTTTTCACAACTGTAGATTGTGTTTCTTCTAGTCACTTCTTGAATTTCCTCACAATCAAAGAACATTGCCCTTTCTTTTTCCCTTTCTTTTCTTCTTCATCACAAATTTCCCGCTCAACTCCTTTTTTTGTCTCGTTTCCTGATAATTTCTTTTCCCCACACCGGTCAATACAGCACATTTTTCCCTTTAATCCATTTCTATTTTTTTTAAAGTTTTCTCTTTGAATGCTGTTTTTTCTTAACTTTTAATTTGAAGGCAATGGCTGATCGATCAAGAGGTCCTGCATTTGCATTGTTTGTATCGGTTTTGATGGTCGTTACCGGATCACTCAATACAATTTGTGCCAAGTTTGCTTTTTACCCTTTTTCACTGACACAACTTTTTTCTAGATGGGCTGATAGCCTGAAGCCTCCAGGAGAAAGCGTCAAATTTAATCATCCATTTTTGCAGGTAAGGACCCATCAACGACAAACTGCATAAAATATGTTAAATTTTACTGAGTGATTTACTACTGAGTAATTTTAACAAGTCAATATCTTTCAGGCAACATGTATGTTCTTTGGCGAATTCCTTTGCTTGGTTGTGTTCTTTCTGATCTACGCATTTCAACGATACCAATGGAATCGCACAAATATTACAGGCTTGTTTTAGTGTCTAAGTTTGTTAAACGTTTAATTTTATAAGCCACAAAAGACAATTGCTCAACTATCAATGAGATTTAGGCGAACACGGAGCAATCACGGATCTATCAGAAGAACCAACTCTTCCCCAATTCAATCCCTCTCGTTTTTCTTCCACCTGCTTGTTGTGATATCATCGCAACATCTCTCATGTACATTGGACTCAACCTAACGACCGCCTCTTCATTTCAAATGTTACGAGGAGCTGTCATTATCTTTACGGGACTTCTCTCAGTTGGCATGCTTCGTTATCGATTTCAACCATTCAAATGGTTCGGCATGCTTTTTGTGACACTGGGACTTGTCGTTGTTGGAGTGACTGACATTGTTTATGACGACTCGACAACCGATGACACAAATGGGATCATCACCGGCAATCTTCTCATCATTATGGCTCAGATTATCGTCGCTATCCAAATGGTTTACGAGCAAAAATATCTCCAGCAATACGATGTGCCAGCTCTTTTCGCTGTCGGTCTTGAAGGTAAGACTTCTTAAGAGTCATTTCATTACACATACAAAATCAAAAATAACTTAAAAACCTATTTTAAGGTTTATTTGGGATGACGATCTTGGGTGCTTTGATGTTTCCGATGTATTTCATTCACGTGCCGAACACTTTTCGACAAATCCTGAGGGACGTCTCGAAGATGTTATCTTTGCAATGAAAGAAATTGGGGAATGCCCGCTAATTGCCGTGGCTCTTGGTGGCACAATTGTCAGGTATACACGTGCTGTACATGCTTAGGTATGCTCATTTAATTTTAGCATTGCATTTTTCAACTTCGCCGGAGTATCGGTCACTAAAGAGCTCTCGGCAACAACAAGAATGGTTCTCGATTCAGTGCGCACATTGATCATTTGGATTGTTTCAATTCCATTCTTTGATGAAAAATTCATTCCAGTCCAGGTCAGTTTTGGGAGTGAAAATAATACACTCAAAAGTAATAAAAAAGAGAAGGGTTAGTTTGTCACCAGTGCGGAGGCGCGAGGTTTTTGAGATAACAAATTTCTCAGACATTTTCAAAAAAAATGCAGTGCTAATGAATTCAATGAGAAAGCAAGCGTTGAAGAAAGAAATTACTTTTTTTCCAAGAATTACTTTTCAGATCCTCGGTTTTGCATTGTTGCTTCTTGGAATGTTTGTCTATAACGACATTTTCTTCGGTCCTTTCACTCGTCGTCATATCATTCCACGAATGGGAGAAGACAATCCGTTGACCACGTATGTAAAGAGATATATAAAGTGATAACAAAAGCAGGGTTGTTCAAACGGGTTCTAGTCCCTGTAAATGCAAGGTCAGAACCTAACCAGAAGCTAGGTCTAGGTCCAGGTCTGCAGTAACGTCAGGTCAAGCCCGTAGCAAAACGTGGCCAAACAAGGCAAAGTTAGAAGCCAGACCAGGACATGGCTTCTGACCTGACACTGAACTTGCCTTTGGAACAACTCCGAGGCATCAAAAGATTGCTTTTCACTTATCAAAAAAACAATTCCAGTTGCTGCTTTAACTTCTGTGGTGCGGATACGACAGAAATCGATCGTCAACAACTCATCGATGAAGATGAGGCTTAAAATCAAAAGTGAAAGTGTTTGTGTTTCGTGATTGATTGGTGCTTGTTTGTGATTCATTTGTTGTTCAGGTAGTTTCCCATATATTATTCTACAATTCATTTTGTTCTACTTATTTATGACATAATTCACACTTTATTCATTTTGTATTTTCCGTTTATGACGAGTATTTTAACTATTACAGTTCACACACACAAAAACTGGTTTTTGTGCAATAAATCGTAAAATTTGTTTCCATTTTTAAATCTCGGGGTGCACTTACAAAATCGAACACCAAAAAATTGAGAGCAAAATTCAAATGTTTTAGGTAAAGGTTGTAATTTTGTCGAGTTTCTCCCGTTAATTTAGGACGAGTAATTAACAGTAAAGGTCAACATGAAAAGGGAAAACGAAATTATAGGTTTGAATCAAAAAATCTAAAAAAGATAATTTGGACAAAATCTGGTATCAAATATCGTTTTTGATTTGAAGAAATTTAGCATTTGAAGCATTTGAAGCAAAAAGCATTTGAAGGAATTTAAAGACGGTCCCGCTTCAAAAGAGCGTTTGGAACTATCGAATCAAAAGGTCTTCTTATTGCTTTTTTATGCCAAACCCACTATTCAAATCATTAAAGACTATTGAACTCATTAAAATGACTCATTTCGATCCTTTCGATTAAATCGATCTCTATTTTTGTTACATTTAATCGCTAACTTGCTCGGTTCATTTATTCATTTATCGGAAATGACTAGAGTCGAGATTCCTCTCTTTTTCTTTTCCTTTTTCTGTTTTATTCTATCTTCTCCACTTTGCAATCCCTAATTTCCTCCTATTTTTTCCTTTCCTGACGACATTTCTTTCTGAACAATGATGGGAATCTAGGTATAATCCAATTTGCTAAAATTTTTAGTTTAATAAAGACTTATTTGACCTTATTTGCGCAAAATTGAGCTTTGTTCTGACCCGACTGTTTTCACTTCAGAATTTCCCCGAAAAGAGATTTAGCTTCCTTTGATCAATTTAATCAAAGAACTGAACCTCTCATAAAAAAAGTTTTAATATCAAATGATACTGGAGATCTTCCAATGCCTGCAAGCCAGGCCAGAAGCCAAGCCCATTGCTGGCTTCTGGTGGGGCCAGGTAATTTATTCTAAAATTAACACTTACGAAATTTGCGCATTCTGAATGAATCATTTTCTTTCACAAATGTTCCAGAAAATTTTTTCATTTGCTTTCATTCCAAGAACACTTCCCGATTTCTTTTCGATACAAATCCCGCTGAGAACATTTCTCTTTTTTTATTTTTCCGGCACAAAGGCTTTTCATTTCAATAATATTTGGATAATTCTTTGTTCTTTTTTCCTCAATCCCAAATCCTAAATTTTCTTTTCAAAGAATGACTAAACTTTCACACTCAAATTCACATCCATTCCCTCTTCCCCTTTTTCTTTTGTTTCTTTCTCTTTCACACTAACATTTTCTCGAATTTTTGCACACATACAATTTTTAGTCATAATCCCCCAACGATAGTTTTTGTTTTGTTCATTTTTCTCTCTAATTTGCCACCTCATCCCCCATTTCACATAAAAGTGCGCGTGCTTGTAAGATTTCCATTTTGGAATCCAATTTTTTTAAAACCAGAGACTGTTCAAATCCTCTAATTTCCATGGTTATTATGACCATTTGTTTATTCAATTTTAACTCACTTTCATGTCTACCGACTCGTTTAAAATGCTGTTTCCCCTCACTGGATTTTCATTTGAGAAAACTTGAAAATTATGCGCAATATATTATATTTATATACAGAAACATAGTTCTCTAACAAAATTTGCAATTTTGGATTTAAGAATTGCTTTTTAGGCATAAAAGGTGAAGATTCGTGGAGATGTTGATGAAGTATCCGATTACAAACAAAAGAGAATTTAACAAAAGAATGGGTTTTTTTTTGCCTAGGTATATAATAAAATTTAACCTTATTTCTGTGAGAAAATCTGATTTTGAACTAATTTTTTCTCGTGAATCAGAGATTATTAAAGTTTTCTTTCTTCTTTTGAAAACTGAGATCATTCTCTTAACGTAAAAGTTCTTTTCTTAACCAATTAGTCACACATTTGAAATAAGAATAAGGATTCCCAAGATTTTTCTATTTGCAAGCGATCTTCACAGATTTTGGAAGATATCATGGATACATAAAAGTCATAAATTCATTTACAAACCATTTCCACTTTCATTTTTAATTAAAAAATAGAAACTCTGAAAACTTTTGTATCAAAGGCTTTCACAAGAAATGTTTTTTGTGTTTTCAGGATTTTCTTTCCTCCAAAAAGAATTCCTAATAACCTTTTGTCTTTTCATTTTTCTGAAGGAATACTTTGTTGAGAGGAGAAATTTTCGTGGGAACCTTTTTTTCAATCCATTTTTCTCACTTCTACTTATTTTTCGGGACATTGTGCTTTTGGATAACAAGTCTTTTTCTTTTGTAGAAATAGTTTTATCCGAAAGAATCGATTTTTCTCAATCTATAAGACTTTGTGCAGGTTTCCAGAACAATCACAATGACAAAAGTGGTACCTGAATGTGGAAGTGGTGGAGGGAAGCTTTTCGATGAACAAAGCAATTCCACTCAGCGATTTTTTCGATACACTTGAAGCTTTCTCTGCGTGAGTTGCATTTCATGTCAATATATTTGTGCATAGGCTGATATTCTGATATCTGAGCACAAATACAGGGTGTCCCAAAAAAAGAGGCCTTTACAAACGGATTTTATTGAAAAAGTTTAAGGGCGTACCTGGTGTCAAAACCGTTTCTTCTCTGTCTCATTTTTTGTCTTTTTGTGAGAATTTTTTGATTATATGGGCAACTCCCCCCTATTCATGAAATTTTTTTGCCAGCATGGTCACCACCATCAGACTTTTGCCATAAAATTAAAATTTGCTACTGGCGTCGTGGTGTTATGCTAGAGTTATTATATAAACTAAGATTTTTAGTCAAAAAACTTTCTTCATCTACATTATATAATCTGTCATAAATAATAGGTTTTCAACTCACCTTTTTTTAAAGAAGTGTCCCGTTTTTCCAAAGAAACGCTGATCAATAAAGTGTATGGTTTAAATTTGTAGTTATCCTAATGGTATTTACTATGCAATAGTAATAGCAAGTTTTAATTTTATGGCAAAAGTCTCATGATGGTGGCCCAGATGGGGGTGGTGACCATCGTGGTAAAAAAATTTCACGAATAGGGGAGTCCATATCACCAAAAAATTCTCACAAAAAGTCAAAAAATTGAGACACAGAATAAACAGTTTTGACACCAGGAATGCCACCTCTCGCCACTTTTTCAAAAATCCGTTTGTAAAAGGCCTCTTTTTTGCGACCTCCTTTAAATGCAACGTATCAATCAAATTCAGTGCTTATGGAAAAGTTCATCACAATATTTCACTGTTCATTTGTGTTTTTGGTGTAATGGCCAATGTTCTTCATATAACAATATTGACTCGACCTATAATGAAAAGAAGTGCCGTCAATCGATTGGTTCGTTTAGAGGACATCTCATTCAAGATTGCTGTCAAACTGTTAATTTCAGCTTGCTTTCATGGCGATTTTCGATACAATTACAATGGTCGATTATCTGTTATATTTGATTTGCTTTGGTCTTTTCATCGATTCATCAACACCTCCATTCGGTTATCAATATCTTTGGATTTGCTATCTATTGGGTAAGCATTACGATACCAACAATAACAATCCTCGATTTCTTCAGCTCATGTCGTTTTATCAATCTCTCTTCATTCGATTTCTATGTATCTTTCTGTTGCTACTGCATTCATTCGTTTGATAGCAATATCGAGAATTCAATCGAAAATGATGAGACCACAAATGGCATCGTTCGTTTTTAAAAAAGAGCTGTATTCCAATCTTTACATAAAGTTTATTCCTTTCTTCTGAGTTCACAATCAGTTTTCTAAACGTGTAAACTTTCTAGACTACTGTAATCTTGCTATTTTATTCAATGTTGGCATGTTTTACAAGGTACATATTAGCAGGGTTGTTCAAACCGGGTCCTACGGTCTGTAGGCCAAGTCCAGGCCAGGAAAAATGCTTTTGGATTACTTGTAGGCATTAGAGGACCCTATCCTACACACAGTACTATACAATCAGTTGCTCATTTAGCCGTATTTGCATTGTAATCAGTTTGTTGATGGCAATCCTGATTGTTCCCACTTTTTATGTGCATCAAATTGTCGAATCGGTAACTCCCGGAGAATTTAAGGTAAAAGAACTACAAAAGAAAAATTTCCTCAAAATTCACTGATTCTTTCAGGTGGCTCTTCCACAAGAAAATGATATTAGATGTCAAATTTTCATTCTCAATCTTTGGCTAACTGGAATGTTCTTCAAGGTAAATGATATCCGACAAATTATAAATTAAAAGTTTATTTAAGGTTATTCCATGTCTTCTTTTAATGGTTTTCACTGTTAGTTTATTGTATAAATTGCATTTGAATAAAATCGCGCATGAGAAGATCGCCTCAAAACAAGCATATCAGGTTGGATATGATAAAATGAATTGGAAGAATATATATAATAAAATGATGGGTAAAGAGCCAAATTCTCGATACTTCTTTTTTATGTATCAATAAGCTGACATCATTGTCGCGATAAGGGTATTATAGTTAGAGCAATTGACTAAAGCTCTTGCTCTGAGACACCTTATTGACGACGTGCGCAATTGAAAACAACTACTTTATCCACAAAGCGATCAAGTTGACACCTTAAATTTAGGTAATTAAGCCAATCTATTGAAAACAACAAAAACAAAACGATAGCATGAATGTGGGAGAAAAATGAACAACCGGGTAAACAAGTGCTGTTACATTGTCAGGCTAACTTCATTCAGAGAGTGAAAAAGGTGGAAATGGGAAATAACTCAACTCGGCTACGGTAGCCGGGGCACGCAATATGATATGTGCGCTAAATAGATGCCGGTTGGCACAATAATCACGATTATTTCAGAGTCG